GTACAACTCCCAAATGATCCCCAGGGTGGTAGAGAGGGTGTCAATGTCTTCCATACCATATGTGAACTGCGCTTCTGCGCTAGAACGCGGTGAGTGGTCCGAAAGATCCCGAATGGGGAAGTGCACATCTTCATCAAATTCTTCTTGTGATCTGTCTGATAAGGTTTCCCCCCTGTACCACTTACGTCCGCCGTTCGTGATGGTGCCTCCGTTCCTCGTGATTTCATTTGCCCACGACTTCCGTCTTCTATTATATTCTTCCATGTATATCTTCTTAATACGGAAAAATAGATGGTCATTGACCCATTTTGACAAAGGGCCGATGCCTTTGGATTGGAATATATTAGCGCTGGCATTAGCCACATTTCTGTAAATACTAGCTGATGGACTGAAACTGAAGCAAAAGGATGTATCAATGGTGAAGGCGTCTTCACCCAGCCATATTGCCAGTCTCACCCATTGAGATTGGTGCAGTGGAATGGTCCTGTATGCTTCGGCCACATCATGAATGGCTCCTTGAGAGCCTGGAGGGAGATGCCATATCGTTCGGCAAATGGTTGCAAATGTGCCATAGGTGCAGGGGAATAAATCAGAGTCGATTCTTGAATTAATAGAGCTAATAGTGGGGAGTGGATTGATAGGGTAGGATAAGTTCTGTACAAGGCGGAATTTCCCTGGTTTGCCAGGTTTTGGAACAAGTGAGAGTGGGGCCATTTGGAAACTTCCAACAGCTGATTCGAGATCTCTGCCTATGAACGGGCCAATGAAGCATCCTTTCGAAAATTCACATTCAACGATTTGTTGGAAAACTTCTCTGTGTTCAATGATGGAGGCGCTATTAAGGGGTGTATATGTACATCTAATTGGGGGTATGCCTCCCGAAAAACCGAAGATGAGTCCTTCTGTAATGGACAGGTATTTATCCAGCAGGTCCGCTTCCGCCAGTAAGCGGTGCCAGTTCTCTGGGTTATATGGTGTGTGTGCCCTAAGCCTTCTTGCCTCGATGGCATGACTGAGCTCCATGTTCTTTGCTTCCACAACCTGAGCATTCATGTGGTGCTTCGTGGTTTGGAATCTGGCAACCCCCGGGGCATTGCCACTTGTAACACACCGGGATTCCCTGGGGATTGACAATACGTCCGTCTTCCATTTGACGACAGTGAGTGTTGGCGCCATCCCACGTGGTGAGAGATGTGCACTGTCCAATATTGTGTGCAAAGCGGCTGAGGCAAAGGGCGCAGGCTGAGCGGCCGCGAGAGCCTGCGCCATGAGAAAAACCCCTTTGATGTTGTTGGCGGTCATGGGTGTTGTTCGGGGAGGTCTGTTTGCTTTTCTGGTTGTCCGGTTTCTGCGTGGGGGAGTGTGATCTTGAGTTACGGTTCCGGTGATCGTTGAAACTGTCCTGAGGGTCTCGGTAGCTCGACCTCCGGTGCTGGTTCGACGATGTGTCTCTGCTGGAGGTCTACATGGTGTCGTAGTGTTGGTCGTCCATGTTATGATTGTGGGCATCCGCGTTATGTATGCAGGCATCCATGTAGATGGGGTTACGGGCATCCACGGGAGAACGTCGCAGGCATCCGCGGGATCATCATCGCGGGCATCCGTGTCAGACGGGGATATTGTTCGTTGCATGTACAACATTTGTGAGTGAAGAAAGGAAAGGTTCATAAATTAGTGAGTTTATTCGGCATTGGTTTGGTTAAGGACATACAATGTTTAATGTGCGAGATCGAACTTTGTCCCACAATTCTTCGTTAATCGTGCAGATGAGGTTCTCATTGACATTGCCAATGTTGAAACCTTCATCTCGTTTGAGACGATCATGCCAGTCTTGATGTACACAGGACGCATATGTCAGGATCACCATATCCCCAATGTTGCTGTTGTTCTGTATTGAGTGGTTCTCGAGGTGCCAGAAAAACAGGGAGAGTGCATCTATGTGAGGCCAGGGCCATTTAGCTTTGCTTATTTGTATGAGGAACAGATTCTTGGCTTGTAGAAAAATTGAGAATGATAACTCATGGTCCACTATGGCTGCCTTCAACGCTTTGAACACTGATGTAGGTCGCAGCATGAGTTGGTCGTCGGTCCTCGTTATGCTTAAGTCATTCTCTGCTATCAAACGCGAAGACTTTAGGGCATCTCTGCAACCTTCCGGAGAGAAGTACCACAGTTCTACATATTCAAAATTGGTGAGTTTCTGAATCGCATATTGGGCAGGGCGAGGAGTTAGATAATCCCCTATGGATGATGCTTTGTCGAAGCTGTTCATCTTCGGTTTCTTCTTCTCTGCTTCTAAGCGCTCCCTCTCTGCTTCAGCTTCATGTTGGGCACATTCTGCATCTTCCTGGGTGATTCTTGCTCTTTCCACTTCTGCTAATACTCTGGCTTCTGCTTCTTGATCTTGATTCCATTCTGCTATCCTTGTGTTGTGGTCTGCATTCCATGTGTCTGAGAGGCGTGTCATGACCTCTTCTTCGGTCTGATTTGTGGCCGCTTGGAGGTCCATGCGAATTCCTGCATATGCGTTACCGGCAAAGTCTGGGATTACTTTGAGTGTGGGGTCGGTGACTAAAGCCATTATGGTTGATATTTAGGAATAATCAGGTTGTATGGTTTTGAACAGTGTTTTTAGTTTTAAGAGAGTGTCTTAAGTAAAAATAGAAGCGAGCAGAGTGAGGCTCAGTGAGCTGCACGGTGACGAACAGTGATTGTGGCACGAAAGCAAGAGTTTCGGTGCCGCGTCTCTTGTTCACTCGAAGACCTTACTCTATTTTTCCTCTCATACCTCATTACATAATAGAGTGCCAACTTATCTATATCATCAATCATCACTTCACTGCCTAGATTCTCATTAACCAGGCACTTTCAACTTTACTCTGGATAGTCATTAGTACACCCTTGCTGTCTGTGGGTCATGCACAGCCAGGGCGTATTTCGAGTGGTGGGATAAGGTTGACTTATCCAACACTCGATAGTACGCCCTGGCTGTGAATATATTCATATACCATACTGACGGGTATGACCACAGGTAGCACATCTTTGCACTGTACCCATCTATACCCTAATTGAGCTCGGAGTTTCTGGCCAGCGTAACTCCTTGTTGTCTTTGAACTTTGTGGAGTGATGGGTGCTGCCATTGTGCTGCTGCTTGTTTTCCTTGCTTATATGTAGGCACATTTGAATCTTAGTTCTGATTCACCCTTGAATTTGATACCAATGTCCACAGAGGCACATTCACTCCCTTCTCCGTCCGATGAGCAAGCGTACATGTACGTATCTTGAAGCCGGACACCTCATCGTTCCTTTGAGTCTAATGGTAGCTGGTCAATTGGACAATCCCATAACTTTCCCCCCACTCACATTCCTACTGCATCATTCAAAGACCAATAAGCGGTGTAGGGATTCATTTCTGGCTGGGCTTGTAGAGACTGTTTTTACCTTACCTTATGTTGGCACTTTTGTAGCTTACATAATCAATCAATCTTTTCACCAGTTACCAGTATGAGTCTGAGTGCTCAGTAGTTTTCTATGATATTTCCTCTCCTCTGAGCCTTGAGTCTGGTCCAGAAACCCTTTAGGGTCGAATAGCAGCTAGGTTCTGCAAGACCCAACACATTGTTCAGACTCACCATCTGAATTGTTGTACCTTCAGCGGGTTGTTTTCGACCTAGGAATCCACAGGAACATCAAAGAGTTTGCGCCTGCTGCAAAATCAGTGGTGCCTGATGTGAAGCAGACTGCGGCAGAGTCTTTGGTTGATCAATCCATATGACCAGGTCTTGTTAAAGGGATTTTTTATTGCGGTGTTGGACGTGATGGTGTTGGCTAGAGCGAGAGAGGTCATTGTCATGGATGGAAGCACTTTTGGAGCATTTGTGAAGGATGTGCTGTGGAGGTGGCATTGGGGATTTGAAATCGTGCAGAGGGGATAAGTACTAGAATGCATGTCGAACAAAACTGATCTAGCGTTGGCCAGTCACGCACGGAGGTGCACGTCTCAGATAGACCTTACACCAAATTGTACCTCACCTGAACCCAAAATACTAGTGACTGGATAACTTCATGATTCTCAGTAATTTCAAGAAACAAAATATCAAGAGCATGACACTACCCATATAGATTGGTGCCACTGTTCTGATCAAAGATGCTCACCTCGGTCACCTTTCTTTGGCGAAACAAGTCACTGACACCCATGTCATGGTGATCCCTGATAACACCTGGATCAGTACTAGTAGTACAAATCAGTCAATGACTCTGTCTTCCTTCTATTCTAAGGTCTTGACTAAGGGGGATCTAGTAGGCTAACATGAGGTTTCTGGACGAACGGATCCATCGGAGATGTCACTAGTGCAGCGCTTTGGGGATAATTATGTAATTGACGGTTGATTTGGGTATGACGAATCGTGGTACTTTTTGAACACCACAACTACTCACATTTCTCAACTTATCTATATCATCCAGCATTGATACCCAGTAAGAACTGGTTGTGATGGGAAAGGACTGTATGTGTTGGGATGTGTTGATGAAAGTGATCGTGAAGAAAATACTAGCAGGGCACATTCCGGTTATAAAGTGGGACAACCCGCACATTTTCTATATGTTGGTGCGAGATCCCTAATGCCCTCATATGTTTTTTTTTGCGAAAACACATCAGAATCATGTAGTAGCATATAGTCAAACAGTCTTGGTGCTGTATCAGAATGTACTCAAATAGTCTCAAATATGGTTTTATTGTGTATTGCATGCTTTTCACTTGCGTCTCGAAATATGCGCAGGTAGCATTGGATGTGATATTATTGTACAACTGGGAGTACTAAAATAACAAACAGCTATGAAAACATGTCGACAATGGGTGCGTGAAGGTATCGAAAGTGCGTTGGAAAGAGTCCATGAATGGGGGAAGTCTAATGAGACCGAATCTGAAACATGCGGCGGAGAGCGGGGGAAGTCTAATGAGACTGAATCAGAAACATGCGATGGAGAGGAATGGGGTAAGTCTAATGCAATGTGCTGTTGTAGACTGTCTTGTCCCAAGCATTATTGGCAACCTGCACGCTGTGTCAAAAACACAACTGGCACAATAGAGACATGCAACTCACTAGCTCTGCTGCCTCGTTATCATATTCCTGAAATTCACCATGAATGTAGCATGTATATACGGCGACAAAATGACTTACCTTGCACTGGTCCGCAGAGAGATCCCTGTAATAAACACAAAATTCTTCTGTTGTCTTGTTGCTCTCAACTTGCTTGAGCCAACGATGCGCACATAGATTACTAGAAACTTGTAAGTAATGTGATTAGTGCAATTTGAAGGATCCACGTACTGTCCATTTTTAGTTTGACTTGGATGCATCTTACCCTTGCTGATTTTGCTGCCCCTCCCATTTGCAGCGTCGCTGGCCTTGCCTGGGCCCTTTATAGACGTCAAGCCAGAAGCTGAAAGACTCAGAGGAGGATCAATAGAGGGTGGGAGAGGTGGTATCATCGTGCCGACAGCAGCTAGAGCGAGTGTAGAACTATTGAAGCATATTCAAGTTATCCAATGATTGACAAAAACAGCACAAAAAATGTACAGTGGGTTTGTCATATTGATTTTAATGATTGGCTGCAGTGCAATGCTAGGTGCTGCCACTGGTGGTGGGGGAATATTCTCCTTCTCGGTTGGCACAGTAACTGTGGTACTAGGTACTGGCGGGGGGATACTCTGCTTCTCTGTCGTGGTTGGCAAAATTTGAACAGACTTTGGGGAAGCTGCAGTGTCAGGCAACTTTGGAGATGGTGTGTCTAGTAAATCAAGTGATTGCAGGGGCAACATAGCCGGGGAGAGTGGAGCTAGTGGTAAATTCGGAGACGGTGTAGAGACTCGCGCTGAAGGTACAACAATTCAGATGGTGAGTCTGAACAATGTTGGGTCTTGCAGAACCTAGCTGCTATTCGACCCTAAAGGGTTTCTGGACTAGGCTTAAGGCTCAGAGGATAGGAAATATCATAAAAACTACTGAGGACTCTGACTCATACTGGTAACTGGTGAAAAGATTGATTGATTATGTAAGCTACAAAAGTGCCAACATAAGGTAAGGTAAAAACAGTCTCTACAAGCCCAACCAGAAATGAATCCCTACAGTGCGTCTCAATGCCGAATATCCGGCCTTTACCCATACATTCCTATATGCTACAGCTCTAATCCTAAGGACCAGTCTCGCACGCACTCGCGCGTGCCTTCTCCTAGGTCTTTGTGCTATTGTCCGTCCATTCGTCCCATGTCCTTACTGATTTGCTGGTGCGTTATTCCTATCTTGTCCATTGAACTAATGAAATCTTCGGTCCGACGTCCGCACTACATATAGAAAGTCTATTTAAACTTAGTTATAATTAGAGTTGATATGGTTACTCGGTTCGGGAGCGCGCTCGGAAGCGCGCCGCTTAGCGTAATCTCCATTCTTAAATACAGAAGGGTTTCCTTTGGTTCTGGTACTTACTTTCCCCTTATCTTTGTGTACTGGAAAGTGTATAGATCACCTCCTCACTTGTTATCAGATCTTATTCTCCTGTCAATCATCCATCTGTGCATTCACTCCTCAATAGGACCTTTCCTTTAACGCTCAAGGCGCGCCTTCGCTTCGCGCGCGCGCGCATTCTCGAACCTCCTGCTCACGCGCGCATTATCTTCTCGCGCCTGTTAGCGCCCGCCTAGCTCATAGAGTTTCCCTCCACTTTTATTTCGAGGAACTTCTCTCAGTGGTTGTCCTTTGGGTCGAGTCGTTGTCTCGTATCCAATGGACAAATTGCTCGTTCGGCTTGGCAAGAGATGCTCAAATCATTGGATCAAACACGCATGTTGCGCAATGTGAAGGTGAGCATTTCTGGTATTATATTTTGTAAAATACTGATGTACTGTAGCTAAAATACGATGGGCAGATTCGATTCGGTGAAGTTTTATACTTCACCAGGTTGTCAGTTGAAGCTGACCCTAACAATGATCGCGACTGGCGTTTTGCAGATGTGGCCATCATTTGCCTGTACTCCCATCCAGATGAAGACCTCCTCTGGCTCTCCTCGCAGACCGTTGTATCTTGCTCCCGACTTGAGGACATCTATGTTGTTGATGTTAAGCAGATCCTCAGTGTGGTTGCTATGATTCCACACACACCAACGTTACCGTCAGGAGCTACGGAGGCCCGATTTTTTATGATGGAGAAGCCAGGATTAGATATCTCGCCTCTCAGTGGAAATGCCGCTAATGTCAATCATTTGGATGATAATTATAATGCTCCAGATGTAGAGTAGTCAGGTGCTTGTTTCATTACAATTTGAGTTACATTGCAAGTATAATAATGACAATACAAGTTATAGAGCTATTATCATGCGAGGTATCGGTTACAACAGAGTGCAAAATTAGATGAGTAGAGCAGAATATGTGAACAAAACATCACAAAGCGGCATGCATCAAAAAAAGAATGGTCGTGATCGTTCCAAAAAATGATTGGGAGTCAATACCCTGAATACTCCTCGAACTTATGTTTCCGCTCTTGAATATCTGCTACCTTCTGCAGAATCTCAGATGGATCAAAAAGTCGGATGATGTGACGCCAAGGGCGGGACTGTGGACGTAAGATAGCCCAGAAAAATCTAACTTGAAATGAATGTCACATAAACAGTCAAAAATGTACCTTGCAGACAGATACAACAAGTTGTTATCCTCCTGCTTTATTTTGAGATCCTCCGAGTCCCCTTCGGCTATCATGGTATCGTCTTCTTCAAACTTCACTGCATCATTGCACTCTGCTTCTTTCTCCTTTGGCTCGCTCTCAGTTTGGACAGCACTGTAGTACATAAATCAAATGAATCTGTTTGATGACGATTCAAATACTCACTGTGTCATGCTTGGTTTCAGCTGAGGGTCTGCACCTTCATGAAGACGGAAAACAATAGTCTAAAAGATTATGATATATATTAGTTAAGCCGAAAGAGAAAAGATTGACCTTGGTTCTGGGAGTATCAAATGAGACTTTGATGCAGTAGTGATTCCAGTTAGGCAGAACACCATCAAACTCTAGGAAAACAACATCTCCACATACATCCACAGTATGAGTCTTATCCACAAGTTCATTAGTCGAGGACATAATAATAATAGCCGAATTTTGAAGTGAGAGTTTAAACGAGTGCGTGGATTGGACTTTGAGATAATCAGCTTCAACTCTAGAGTTATGGCGGAAAAGTCTGGCGGAGCTTTTATTATTGGACTTGCTAGTTACTAGTATATGTTGAAGTCTGTCTCTTACCAGACTGTTGACCATGTTTCCATCCAGTGACAGTGGGGGCTCTCGTTTTAACAGCGGGTCTTTCTTTCATGCTACACCCTCTAGTAATAATTAACAGGATCATCCACATTGGGGAGGATACTCCCCCTCCCCCCTATCTCCTGGTGTTCCTATGTCGTTACCAGAGGATCCCTGCATGGATTCAATTACACCACATCTGCAACGGTTCTCACAGGTAAGTACTCTGTGACTGGTTCTTACACTTATAAATGTATTTTTAGGGTGCATATATGCAGCTTAGTATTCAGGAGAATCAGCAAGTGCTGGCCTTGCGTGAACACTGCAAAGTGTTAGAGCTGCAAATAGTCAAATTGACTAGCGAGCATGACACACTCAAGTATATGTTCACCAGCGAGTCTTCATTTGTTCAAACCAATCATTTTTTAGATCAATGTTTCAGCAGCTCACAAGCGCTATTCAGCTACCACAAACAGACTTAGGCCTTGAGCTTGATTCTGTCATTCCTCCAGTACAACCTGTCACTAAGCGCCCTACCCGCCTAACTCATCCATATGTTCAATTTTGGACCAACGAAGACTTCATAGCATGGCTGGATTCTCCTGATGGCCGTCAAGCCAACCACGGGAAAGTACCATACCTCGAGGACAAAAAAGGTGACCCACTTACAGATACGATGATCAAGGCTATTCAGAAGCTGCTTCATGGTGCTTGGGCAGAACTTATCAGGCGCAAACTTGCACCAAAGACGTGGGGTAAAGCATCTGCACCTGCACGATAGGTTGTTCACACCCTGCTGGAGAACACATATCCGTTGTTTAAGTTTGCTGATGACGGTTGGAAGCTCGATTATCTCATCAGCACCTCATATTCTGCCTGGCGATGAAATCATGTTGATGACCATGGAAACTGGAAGAAGAAGAACATTGACGACGACGATGAGGATGAGGAGGAGGAGAGTAGTGGATGTTCTTCCAATGCCAGGGGTAAGAAACGTAAGCAGTCGAAGAACTCTTTCAAGTCTGACGTTCCCGAGAAAAAAATAAAAGGTATGATTTTAATATAACACATCATCCTACTAACTATCCTCTGTAGTCGATCCTATTCCTATTAGTGTGCTGCTCTCTCCTAGTCCAAGTCTCACTCCTTCTCGAGCACCGTTGTAGATGAGGAATCTTGACTATACGTGAAAACACTTAAAACAAAAGGGTGCTCAACAGCAAGACCAGGATACGAGACAACGACTCGACCCAAAGGACAACCACTGAGAGAAGTTCCTCAAAATAAAAGTGGAGGGAAACTCTATGAGCTAGGCGGGCGCTAACAGGCGCGAGAAGATAATGCGCGCGTGAGCAGGAGGTTCGAGAATGCGCGCGCGCGCGAAGCGAAGGCGCGCCTTGAGCGTTAAAGGAAAGGTCCTATTGAGGAGTGAATGCACAGATGGATGATTGACAGGAGAATAAGATCTGATAACAAGTGAGGAGGTGATCTATACACTTTCCAGTACACAAAGATAAGGGGAAAGTAAGTACCAGAACCAAAGGAAACCCTTCTGTATTTAAGAATGGAGATTACGCTAAGCGGCGCGCTTCCGAGCGCGCTCCCGAACCGAGTAACCATATCAACTCTAATTATAACTAAGTTTAAATAGACTTTCTATATGTAGTGCGGACGTCGGACCGAAGATTTCATTAGTTCAATGGACAAGATAGGAATAACGCACCAGCAAATCAGTAAGGACATGGGACGAATGGACGGACAATAGCACAAAGACCTAGGAGAAGGCGCACGAAGCGCGCATAGCGCATGCGCAGGTAAGGCGCGCCTAAGTGCGCGCGAGTACGGATAAGGCGCGCGCGAGTGCACGCGAGACTGGTCCTTAGGATTAGAGCTGTAGCATATAGGAATGTATGGGTAAAGGCCGGATATTCGGCATTGAGACGCGCGAGTCTCTACAGCGCATAGCTTGTGCAGCAGCTCCAACTGGCGAGAACATGTACCTATCCCGTTTTCACAATAGTGTGTATCCATCACCCAGGTCTACCGAACCTTCTGGGAGACCTTTTGCAGGTTCATTGAGGTCAGGTATAATAGATGAAAGGGTATTCACTTTACAACGGCGAACCCCCTCCTGTGACAAGTTTGCATAAGGCCGCGATGGTTGGCGTATCTCTTGGCCAAGGTTACCAATCATCCATTCCATTGTCCATTGTGCATAGCACACTGGTGGACCTTTCTGAATGGTCTCCGCGACGAGATGGTTAGTTTGGTGGACACAGGGGTGGACGAAGTGCAGGTGATCTTCTCTGAGTTGATAGTAGATAAGCTCGAATTCCCACTCCCAGGCACAAAGAAGTACATTGGCTTGTTGGAGATCATGGAACGTCGCTGAAAAAATAAACACAGGTTACAAGACATGGGAGTTCCAGCTCTATATGTTCAGTCTCGGCCCTGCACTGCTCTATAATGTTCTGCCTCAGCAATACTGGGCTAATTATTGTAGGCTTGTCCGTGGCTTTCAACTTATGTGCCAACACGCCATCACTACACAAGGTTTGCGGTCAAACGAGGGGGGTAGATATGGACCTGCACGTTCTACTGATTCTCCATGTGCGCTCCAGGTTTCTGCATCTTGAAGAACTGCCCAGTCCCATGTAGCTACATCATCTGTGGGGCCACAATCAATTGTTCCACGCCAGAGATCGAGACACAGATCACTTAAGTTTGCAGCAAGGTGCATGATGTCCGTGGTCATGCAGTGTGGAACACCGAGACAATGAGAAGGGCTAAGGCCCATAATGAGGGGAGGCTTGGTGATACCTGTTTCCATTTTTCGCATATCCAGCTGCCGCTGATTTTGAGATGCTACAAGCCGACGTAGGTTTTCAGTATAGTCTAAAGATCCTCCCAGAGGAAGTCTGCACACATCAATGTCTGGATGGTCACTACCCTCGGCACACCAATCTCATGGCTTGAGAAGTGCAGGGTAATAGTGTGTCGCGCGAGTTTTGCGTCTGCCTCTGACTCCACAATAGATACAGCAGCCATTCTTTCTGCTGTGTCCAACCATACCATCCCAATAGACAAGTCCAGGGCCGTCAGCAGTGGTGAAAAGCAGATGGAGATTGGAGATGAAACAGTGTAGAGAATCATGCCTCTCATGGCGTGATATGGCAATTTCCACTAGGGAGTATACAGCACAAACTCGCAGCACCACTCTGTGTACTGTCCACAGCTATTCCTATATGAGGCGCAGCTTTCCCGCGCAACACGCGCCATTCCCGTGCTTCACGATGTATACGCACGCGCGCGTTCCTGCGCTTGAGCGCCCTATAGCGCCAGCCATCCAGATGCATCCATCCACTGTCCTCCAAGTTCTCTAGTGCGTATATTTCTCTTTCTCTCATTTGTATATTATTCCACCTTATTTTTATCATGGACCCTTACTTATATATATCTCTACATACCTACTCGGTAGCGCTTCGGCTCCACATTACAGCGCTTAGGCGCGCTATATAAGCGCCAGCAGTACATAGTACTACTCACTTTACATTTTTACCACTTACCTTACCTTACTTTACTTTCCACCCACTATCTACCTAGAAGAACATAGTAGAAATCCATTTTGTCTATACTTCACATCTCTTTTCACTTATCTTGCATCATATCCTCACTTAAGCTTACTCCTTCTCATTTCCGCACACGCGCGCGCGCATTCCCGCGCCTTCGTGCCTTGCGCGCACCTGCGCTTTCTCACGCTTCGCTTCAGCGCGTACCTCTAGATCTTCGCTGCACTCACTTCCCCTTTAGGGTCGAACGCACTTGTCTCCTCAGGTAACGCAGACTAGGCAACGCGCGACCTTACAACATTTTTTTAGATACAGTTAGGAGCTTCATTTGTTCCTCTCTGTATTGTTGTTTCTACAACGGACATCACAAGATGCATCCCAGACAGTTAGCCCTTCGTTTTGAAGTGCTGTGAGATGGTGAAGACCAACAGCGAGGAAGGAGTCTACGTTTTTAGGTTTGTTAGGGCCTGGTATAAATCCACCTGGGCGAACGTGCAGTTTGCAATAGCATTTGTTAGGAGCCAGGTTTAGGATGACCTACATGTACATCCAGCAATCAGATTGTTTACTCTCATAAAGCTGTGCCCCGTTGAGCGATACCATGAGAACTATGTCATTTTCCTTGATGTCGCCGTCAAGAACTGCTCCAAGGTAATCATAACCCATGGTGATATCATCCACGATCGGAATCTTCATGATTCTCTCTATTTGTGCAAGAATCTCCTGCGTGTGTTCATGAAGATATCGCATACTCCATGCGTTCTCAGGATCACGATACAGTGACTGGAGCTGCAGGCCAAGAGGGATAGTAATGAGCTTCTGGGCGGTGACTCTACTGCGTCCGTTGCTTGCTTGAAGCTTCACCTGGTCCCAACGTGACGTGGTACACATAGGACAGTTATCCAGGTCTGCATATGGGCTGGTAAATGCAAGGCAAGATTTTGGGCACATATCGTGCTCGATCGATTCAACACCAGTATACTGACTAATGAGTTTCTCCACACTATAGAAACTGAGGAGGTCATCGACACCATCCGCACCAGCAAAGTTCTGTGTGGTGGCTCTGCAAATGCGATTGTACACATCTTGCAAGGCATGCTCGAGTGCAAGGTACATTGAAATACTCTGGCATACTCCTGGGCTATCGATCACAATAGGTCCTTGGGGGGGATTGTGGAGCCGCTCGAGGGCATCATCACTCAAATTTACAATTGGTTCATTGAGTGAGGCATTCCTTATAGCAAGGATGAAATCCATTATTTCTCGGATTTTGGGAAGAATGGCACTTTGTGCCAGAGTAACAATATCAATGTTGGGTCACTGCCGGTGCTCTATTCTAATCTCATACTGCTGTTGCTGTTGCTGCAGTGGATCTGGGGGTCCGTCTGGGTGCGGAGGTTCATCTGGGTCAGGAGGCTGCAGTGGATCTGGGGGTCCGTCTGGGTGCAGAGGTTCGTCTGGGTCAGGAGGCTGCGATGGATCTGGGGGATTGTCTGGGTGTGGAGGCTCGTCTGGGTGCGGAGGCTTGTCTGGGTGCAGAAGCTTGTCTGGGTGCAGAGGTTCGTCTGGGTGCAGAGGTGCATCTGAGTGCGGAGGCTTGTCTGGGTGCAGAGGCTCGTCTGGGTGTGGAGGTTCATCTGGGTGCAGAGGTGCGTCTGGGTGCGGAGGTTCGTCTGGGTGCAGAGGTTCGTCTGGGTGCAGAGGTGCGTCTGAGTGCAGAGGTGCATCTGCATCAGAAAATCGGTGAGGGGATGGTTTTCCTAGTTGTATTTGGTAATATCAGATCAGAAATTCATGAGATTACATGCAAAAACAAAGGTAGATAAAGTAATATACAAGAAAAACAAACTGAAATTCAAGGATAAAATATGACAAGAAACCTACAATTCAGATGAAAATAGGTCTTGATCACGCAAGTGCACCAGCATTTCTCGACCGAATGGTAACCAATGGCATCACATTGTAATCCAGCGCATCACAATGCTCGGCCTTAAAGGAAGCTTATGTAAGTGGGCCATCTGAAATTTCGTCAAGTTCAACTTTCTACCGCTACTTCCCTTTCAACCACTACCACCGCTATTATTATTATTTTGCCCTCCTCACTCAAGGTCACTCCGTGGTTCTTTGTCATGGTCCTAACTCCCCTTCAATGGTTGGCCCCCAATGGTACCTCCTCAATCCTGGTCCTTCCTCGCGATCTCGGTCCTTCCTGGTGGTCGTGGTCCTTCGTCATGGTCCTGGTCCTTTCTCGCAGTTCTGGTCCTTTCTCGCGGCCCTGGTCCTTCCTCACGGTCTTGGTTCTTCCTCGCGGTCCTGGTATTTCCTCGTGGTCCTGGTCCTTCTTCATGGTTGTGGCCCTTCGTGGATCTGGATCTGGACCCTACTTCCTCGTCCATACTCTTTTCTTATCTTGTTGCTTCCATTTGTTGTAGAATTACCTATGTATATTTGCTACTTTGTTTTTATCAAAAATTTCAAAAAACCAGACCAACAAATGAGTGAAAAAATTGTGTGCAGCCCAGGCCATTAGCAAAGTATGTAACAGCTGATAGCACTGACAAGTGATTGCAAACATTTGCCGGTTTGGTGATAAATGGCAAGTAATTGCAAGTAGTCTGTCATAATTGTACTGTTGGCAGTGTTCATCCAACTTAGTCCGGGTATATAAAGCTTTATCTTTTGAACTGCAATTTTGATGGATATTATACAAATGTCAGGCCAGGTAAAGCTTTACAAAACTTTATCATCTTCGTGTCGGTTACCTGATGTGGGTGCAGAGGCTCATCTGGGTGCAGAGGTTCGTCTGGGTGCGGAGGTGCATCTGGGTGCAGAGGCTCATCTGGGTCAGGAGGCTGCGGTGTATCTGGGGGATTATTTCGCTGAAAATCAAAGAGTTAGCACTCCATTCGAGTCAAAGATACTGATAGATATACAGATACCTCTTGAACATCTTGATGCACAACTCGTGCGTGTTTGTCACGCTGAGCAGTGCGTCTAGAATCTTCCTCATCCCTAGCTCGTTTGACAAGATCTCAAAGTGCGGTGTAGAGACTCATGCCTCTCATGGCGTGACATGGCAGTTTCCACCAAGGAGTGCATAGCACGAACTTGTAGCGTCACTCTGTGCGCTACCCACAGCTATCCCTATACAAGGTGCAGCTTTCCCGCGCACCATTCCCGCGCTTCACGATGTATACGCGCGCGTGCGTTCCCGCGCTTGAGCGCCCTATAGCGCCAGCCATCCAGAAGCATCCATCCACTGTCCACCAAGCCCTCTAGTGCGTATATTTCCATTTCTTTTATTAGCATATCATTCCACCTCTATTTTTATAATGGACCCTTACTTATATATATCTTTACATACCTACTCGGTAGCGCTTCGGCTCCGCATGACCGCGCTTAGGCGCGCTATATAAGCGCCAGCAGTACATACTACGAGAGGGAGTTTTCCACTTACTTTTCACTTACTTTCCCTTTAACTTACTAGTTACCACCCACCATTTTACTTAGCAGAACATAGTAGAAGTCTATTTGTCTACACTTCGCATCTCTCTTCTCTTATATTGCATCATATTAGCACTTGAGTCTAACTTCTCTATTATTTCTGCATACACGCACGCGTGTTCCTGCACCTTGCGCACACCTGCACTTTCTCGCGCTTCGCTTCAGCGCACACTTCTAGATCCTTGCTGCACTCGCTTCCCCTAGGGTCGAACACACTTGTCGTCTCAAGAATAGCAGACTAGGCAATGCTTGACCTACAACATTTTAGATACAGTTAGGAGCATCATTGTTCCTCTCTGTATTGTTGTTTCTACAGCGGCCACACAACAAGCACTTGGAGGCAAGGACATTCTATCTGAGTTGCCGGCGTTGCTGGCAGGTGCAGTGTTGCCTGCAGCCCCGATATTTGTTTCCAGTGGGATACTATGTCCCTGTAGTGCTCTACCAGATTGTATCCTCTCTCATTCCTGTTCCGTAGTAGTAGCTTCTAAATGTCGGTGCCAGGTGGATTTCGAAACTTGATGAGGTTGCCTGAGATTGTGCTTGCTGCAAACACAGACATAGAGCTGCCTGTCTGAACTCGAGTCGGGAGACATTCTAGAGTAGTTGATCAGTTTGGTAAAAGTGGATGCTTAAATAGTATAGTGCCTCCGAAGTCCAGTTCGGTCAGGTTCATGGCCCTATGTCTGTGAACCCTGAACTCGACCATTGGTCAGGTTCAGGCATGGTGGCCGAACCTTGGACCGGTGTAGAAACAGCAATACAACAAGGAACAAAAGAGGCTCCTAGCTGTATCTATAAATGTTGTGAGGTTGCGCGTTGCCTAGTCTGCTATTCTTGAGACGACAAGTGTGTTCGACCCTAGGGGAAGCGAGTGCAGCAAGGATCTAGAAGTGTGCGCTGAAGCGAAGCGCGAGAAAGTGCAGGTGTGCGCAAGGTGCAGGAACACGCGTGCGTGTATGCAGAAATAATAGAGAAGTTAGACTCAAGTGCTAATATGATGCAATATAAGAGAAGAGAGATGCGAAGTGTAGACAAATAGACTTCTACTATGTTCTGCTAAGTAAAATGGTGGGTGGTAACTAGTAAGTTAAAGGGAAAGTAAGTGAAAAGTAAGTGGAAAACTCCCTCTCGTAGTATGTACTGCTGGCGCTTATATAGCGCGCCTAAGCGCGGTCATGCGGAGCCGAAGCGCTACCGAGTAGGTATGTAAAGATATATATAAGTAAGGGTCCATTATAAAAATAGAGGTGGAATGATATGCTAATAAAAGAAATGGAAATATACGCACTAGAGGGCTTGGTGGACAGTGGATGGATGCTTCTGGATGGCTGGCGCTATAGGGCGCTCAAGCGCGGGAACACACGCGCGCGTATACATCGTGAAGCGCGGGAATGGTGCGCGGGAAAGCTGCACCTTGTATAGGGATAGCTGTGGGTAGCGCACAGAGTGACGCTACAAGTTCGTGCTATGCACTCCTTGGTGGAAACTGCCATGTCACGCCATGAGAGGCATGAGTCTCTACACCGGACACCTTTGAACGCGTTCGGAAGGGTTCAGTTCAGGTTCAGAACATGTTCAAACTCTCAAACCATTGTTTAAATTGCAAAAACAATTAAAATTGACAAAAAATGAGAACAAAACCTATAACTACTAAAACCCTTCCTCAACAACAATGCAGTTATCGTAAGGAGCAGCAAACTCAGCCTGGGATGTTGCAGAAATGTGGCCTTGACGGTACACGCTCTTGAGCAACTGGAGAGCCTCGAATGTTGCTGGCTGCAAACAGCTGCGATGTGCGGTCCCAGTAATGCCGCCACTTGAAAATGCACGCTCGGATACAACTGCAGATCCCTGGATGGCAAGGTAATCCTTTGCGATGCGGGAGATGGTCGGGTACTGGATAGAATGGTGCTTGAAAAGTTTTTTGATTGTATTAGTATGCAAACAACATAAATTAAACAATAAGACGTACCCCCCACCAGCCCACTACGTTGTCGACATCCTCAAGGGGTGCATCTAGGTAGTCCTCAAGTTCTTGACGAGGCCTTCGTGTGGTTGTGTCATTCACGACACGCGATTTGACAGAGCTGCCCATCCAACTATGGCCGTACGATCCTTGGCGAGTGAGCAAAGATGGGATGGTGACAGATGGCTCTGCAGGAGCCTGTGAGACAGTACTGCAACGATGATATATATCAAACTATGTAAGATTAGTATACAATTGAGGTGCGTGATGACAAGCGACATACCACTCTCCCGAGGGATTGCATCCCCATTTCGAAAAAATGAGGGGCCCATTTGTCTTTGGCGTATGCAACCTTGTAGTTGGGGTCAAGCGCTACATCAAAAAGCCCCGATACATGAACATTCCGCACCAGAAAACGCCAGAGTGTGAACAAATGCCAGAACAGCAGTGTGGTGAATCAAAAGTGCGGACAGTATGTCCTGAAATAAATGGCATTAGAAGTTAGCAATGACAAACAGTGAACGTGTTGTGAACGTACCAGCACCTTGATAAGTCGCATTGCTGAAGAGACCAAGAGAAGAACACGGATGAGGGCAATGTAGTTACTGCAAGTAGGCTAGAAGGGGGGGAAGACAGTAAAGCGACAGGCAAGCACAATGCTTAAACAGAAAACCTTACCAAAAACATGAGGCTTCGTTGCCGGTTTGAGAATCTAAGTTGGATAAAAATACATCAGGTTCAAACCGGTCCGGACGCGTCTGGACCGGTTCACGTGCTCCAGGAAAATACCGGACCTCGGACCTATTAGGGGGTTCGGTCCAGCAGAAATACCGGACCTGTGACTGAACCAATGGTCCAGTCCGCAAAGGTTCGAGTTCGAACCTAGGTTCGGGACCGGACTTCGGAGGCACTAGAATAGTACATACTTGTCATAGTTGTCTTTGCGTGAGTCGGATGCAATGTGGTGCGTTCTTCGCGCGATACAATGCAATGTCTGTGTGATACGACACGATGTCAGTGTGATGCTATACAATATTCTACAAAAACATACGAAGTTGGTGTGATACGACGTCGACGCCGACGATGCTAGTGCAATGCAAAACGACGATTTGCAAAACGAGACGAAGTTTACATTATTCAGCATATTCCAACATAGTACTAAACGGGTAATTCACATATCGTCGCATATAGTCCTTTCCCAGCCTTTCCCGTCACAACCAGTTCTTACTGGGATCATTGATATCTCGCTTCACTGCTGAGATCCTCATTAACTAG